AGACGGAAAAGGTATAAACGCCTGGGGGAGATAGAACGTGAGACCTCACCAACAATACCACAACTGCAGTTAAACTAACGCTAACCGGAAACTATATTACGTTCGGCACTGGCAGTTGTTTCTCAAGTGCTGTCGTGATTTGTGCGGTCGCCAGGGGAGTCGACAGGCGATACAGCGACGAAACTATGTACGGGAACTAAAAATTCAGCGACGAAACTAAAAAGATACGACCCCTGCCTAACCCAACCCAACATCTNACGTTCGGCACTGGCAGTTGTTTCTCAAGTGCTGTCGTGAACTGTGCGGTCGCCAGGGGAGTCGACAGGCGATACAGCGACGAAACTATGTACGGGAACTAAAAATTCAGCGACGAAACTAAAAAGATACGACCCCTGCCTAACCAACCCAACATCTCGCAGACGTTGAAGCATTGTGCGCAGCGAGCTCTGACATTTAAAGTCCTACGCTGGGGCAACCCCTCTTCGGTTCGCCGTGCCCCCTTGCGAGGGTGTATCTCGGCAACCACGTGCCGGTCGAGGCGATGTGATGGCTTGAATGAAAGCTGGGAGCCGTGGCATGACTGCGGTAGTTGTTGCGGCTGCCGGCGAGACGCTTGGGAGACGATGTGGGGTGTTGTCCCAAATTTGGAATTTGGGACAACCCCTGTTGGGGTCGCCGTGCCCCCTTGCGAGGGTGTATCTCGGCAACCACGTGCCGGTCGAGGCGATGTGATGGCTTGAATGAAAGCTGGGAGCCGTGGCATGACTGCGGTAGTTGTTGCGGCTACCGGCGAGACGCTTGGGAGACGATATGGGGTGTTGTCCCAAATTTGGAACTTTGGGACAACCCCTGTTGGGGTCGCCGTGCCCCCTTGCGAGGGTGTATCTCGGCAACCACATGTCGGTCGAGGCTATGTAAGGGCTTGAATGAAAGCTGGGAGCCGGTCAACTTCATCTCAGGCCCTTTCCCATCTTGGCGGGGCGTGGGCATCGATGTAACGACGCGGATATGTACAGGACACCTCCCAATAATCCTGCGGTGCCCCTTGGGAGGGCATATCTCCGCATGTACAGGTCGGGTAAGGCCACCCGATGGCTTGGATGATAGCTGTGGATCATACAAGCACAACAAAGGTCTTTGGGGGTGTTTCGGAGGTGGTTGGGCCGAGTAATGAAGGAAAACGTGGATTTACCGAAGCCACGGAGCCCCTTTTTTAGGCTCTATCTCCTCGGCCCCGGCTCCGTTGTGGACTCAAAATACATTCCGTGAAAGCTGTGTCCAGTAGGATTACAACAAACTTGGTTTGAGGTCGATCCGAGCTTTCTACGCCGAGTTAGACGTGTTGTCCCAAATAAACATTTGGACAACGTTGTCCCAAATAGCCGTGCCGTTTGAAAAACGCTTCAAAATTGTCATGTGAAAGCAACCACAACATTAAATTTCTATTGGTTGGATCGTATCGTTTCTAGATGCAGGAGAGATCAACAGTGGAGTATCGTCTCATCACAAGCCCGAGCGCGGAGACGTGAATCACAAGACAACCATATCTGTGCGGCGCTACGAGCAACGTTGCCAGCACTCCCCATTCAACAAGGGGTCCACTGCTGACCTACCCTCACTTTCGTCGCGTGGTTCATTTCGTGCGTGTAGATACCGCAGAATATTCTCGGTGCACCTTTTTGGGTACGTTCCCAGACGTCGATCTGGGCTAGAAGTTTCTTGTGGTCGTCTTCCCTGAGGGTGGACATCAAGACAATAACACCGCCTTAAACTACAAGAACAACCAGTGTATAACGCGGAGCCGAACAGAAAAACATGTACCCTTCGCCAAAGCGGCTAACTTGTCTGGAATGCAAGACCTGCCGACTCGACTTGGTGCTCGCAGAAGTTGCCCAGATCCAAAACGAGGTACTCAGTTTGCGTTTCACCTCATCAGCACCACTATGCGTACTATCCGAGGTGTGTCGTTCTTTGTCTGTGTTAGTCGGAATGTGGGAATAACTGCTGATGCTACCATTCATTCTATCCTCTCTCACCGGTGGGAACGAAAGAAGCCCGAGAAGATATCGATTGTTACCACGACATTCGGTATTCTGGTAACTTGATTCACACGATTATCTCATGCAAAATTCCATGACACACCATGAGGCTTCATGAAGTACCAGGTGGCCTTCAAACGTCCCAAGTACATATACATATGGTAGAGGAGGTCGGCTGCCACCACGCGGTAGACACAGCTGCCATGTCGTGGGTCCGCGCATTGCAATGAATTTCCAACTTCGGTTTGAACGACCTTGAAAGCAAGAACTGCAGACGAAACATCGGGCTGGGATGTCGAGAAGACGCCACTACCAACAGCCCGCGAGATCGACCCACCGCAACGATGTACCTTCAGTTCGTTGGAATGCCACCTCTCGCACAACAAACTGCATGAAGGTAATGAACTGGCGATTGGAACTCACACATTGCACGACCCAGGAAAACTCGCGTTGGTCAAAGAGGAGACACCGCTCTGGATTGATATGAAGAAGCTTGAGCTGTTGAATGTTTCCTGGTAGTCCCAGGGTTGCCCCATTATCTGCTGATCTTCTGAGGAAGCGTGCTGAGACGGTACATCGAACTCCTCGCTGTCGCAGCCCTGATATGTTGTGATCTCGTACACACTCATCTTGTGTATCCCTCCACACGGATCACCGATGGTGGTACCGTTGCACGGCATGTTGCAGTCGTCGTGGTCTGGTTCGGGACCAAGCTCGCTTAGCTTCGGTTCCCTGGAGCACCAGCACTGTCGATATGAGTATTCCACGGCATAGCCAAATAGGTGTTTGGCGGGAACGAGCTGCCCCCATTTTCTTCCGTTCAGCATATGCGTGGTCTGGGCGTGGTGCTTTGCCTCAGTTACGACCTACGCATACTTTTGTATGCATGCAACACCCTGAGCAAGTGTTCTTGGCAAGGTAGTGCCACGCTGCTTGGGCGGGGGTGCATATTCATGGCACCCAGGAATGGACGGCACTCGACTAGCTGAAAAGGAAACAGGGGGGTCGTGAAACACGATGCACCAACTCTCGCACGTGGCGATCGTGTGCATCGACCCAAACGGGCCGACATGTTTACAGAATTAAGCACCTGACGACTTGAGTCGCAGCTGGTATGAATATCACAATCATTGCTTCGAACCTTCGGAAGGAAACTCGTCAACCTAACCCAAACCCATCATGCCATTTTTCAGTACGGCAATTGGTACGGAGATCGTCTTGAGACGGCCACCAAACAGAAACCGTTGAAGGCCCACGGTCAAGGTGTTGGCCTAGACACAGCCAGGTGACTTCCAGTAGGCGATCAACCTGTGTCGCATACGCACCTCGTTAGAGTTCTGCGTGCCGAAGTGCGTATTTATCCCGTCGTCGTAGATCAGGCAGCATCGCTGATTGCTCGAAAAGGTGAGACGAGTTAATGGGACACAAACGAGCAACGTTAGGTTTTATTGGAGATGTCGATCAAGTAAGCTGGAAACGTTACCGGATCATACGCATGTGTCTCGAAACTTCTACGCTAGGCATGTTCGTGCATAAAAGGAATGTGTAACAGGACCCATAAGGAAGGGAATACCAAGAGCCAGAGGGACGGTAAACGAGTCGCATCCACCCCACAGGTACCTGAAAATACCTATTTAAGAAAAAATCCAAACGCCGACTGTTTGCAAACTTAGGAGAGTTGCCCCGCCTCAGCGCAAATTTGTCACGCCCCCGAAATGTTTTGGGGGATGTTGTTTGCCGGGGGGAACTACGCTTGTAGAACAATAAAGCAAGTCTCCCGCTTGAGTTGATGGTCCATTGTTTGCTTTGTGAATTCCTCCGTTTCTCTTTGTTGAGATGGTCATGGCGACATGGTCGCATCACAGCCCACCAAAGAGCACTCTGGGCATGCTGCCGTAGGTGTTTTGCGGTGTGGTGGAGACATCACCAGAGAAGACTTGGACACACACCCTGTGAAAATATGCACCCGGGGGGGGTGCAGACAACCGTCCCCCCTCTCTGCCCCTATCTTGAGTTCGCCTCTCGAGGCTTCGACTCCAACGAACCAAAAGGTATTCTTTACCATGGCAGACATGGGCTGCTTCTGACTCATCACGTACGCCCAAGGCATGATCCGACGGTCTCTCGAGTCATCGAAGCAGCCAACCAGCCTATAGTCAGCGGGGCAGCCTTAAAAGCGGAAGCGGAAGGAAAAGAGTTGGCATTTGCAATGGCGTAGGCAACGGCGTTAGGGAGGGCCGTTGGAACGGTACGGTGAAGAAGGCTGCCACCGACATCGGGCTAAGCCCACGATTGGTCCCGCGTTGTAGTTGAGGACGAATGATTTTGTATGGACACAAGACGCGGAGACTAGGTGTTTCCAAGTGCTCGACACGATTGATGCGTGCATAAAAGGGTTGGTGGTTGATGCTGCCTTGTCGGATTCGACGATACGGCCTGAAAGCAGAGTACGATGGCGATGGAAACATGGAGTACCAACGCCCGCTGAGGATCAACGGGAGCGAAACCACCTTTCTTGCAAAAACAATGATTCTAGCTTGCCCAAGAGACTGGAAGGGAGGGGGGGGTGTACTTATAATCATGCATGCCGAAGTCGTCAGACCATTGACCTCGCACCCCTACAAAGCCGGGACGGAGCACGCCGGGTTCTCACCGGACAAGGCTCTCACCATCACCAAGCGCGAAGCGCCGTGAGATATTCGGCGAGTGGCATGAAGGGAGGGAAGAGAGTATTGAATTGATGACACAGGGCCAAACCTTACCCAATAATTCTGAAACCACCCTACCGCTAGCCAAAATTTCAGGCCTCAACAGCATCGACGAGAAACATTTATAAGGGGATCATTTAGAAAACATGCTTTTGTGCATGAAACACGCATCCGTAGTCCTCACAGCTCTACTCGATTTTTCTGGCGGTGCGAAACGCCCTGGGAAACACACCTCGGTCTGAGCGACGAAAAGAAGGTACGTCCACATAGAATGAGCGCTTGGTTATTAGCTGTCATGGACCTCCACGACCAGATCATCCACACGAGCGTACACTGTGGCCCGAGTCCCTTGTCTTACTCACACCCGTCACCCATTCCCTACTCGTCAGTCGATCGGCGACTCTGCTGAGCCCGCCGATGTGTTTAGCAGCCGATTACGGTCCACAACTTTCAAGAATCAGCTGATTAGCGACACCCTCACCTGCCTGATCCTTTGGAAGATGTACAAAGAGCACCGAGAGGGTTAGGAGCTTCATCACACCTGCAGCACCCTGTGCTGCGACTGACACGGAACCAGACACTGGATCTACGGACAGGAACCACTGCTACAAAGGTGCTGAGGGTACTGTCAGCAGGGCTTCGGGCCATACAGGGTGATAATTGCGTTGGTGCGTGAGCTGTTTGCGTGGTGCGCGCGCATAATGCATGAGTGTTTGTGTTTGGTGTCTACAACCCGAAAGATATGTACTATGAGACTGTTGTCTCCAGGTTCGCGTGTGAGCAAGTTCCCTTAGGGAT